AACATAAAAAAAACTTTTTATTTATTTAAAACCGAATAAATCAACATTATTGAAGAATTGGTTCAATTTTTAGTTGATTCATAAATGAGTCTTTGTCAATGACGTGTCATTGTATGTTTTTGCTGTGCATCAAAATTCGATGAATTGTATATAGATTAAAAAAACCTGTTAATGCAACTCCTACGGGATTAAAATATGAAATATGATGTAGTTGCTCTTGCTAATCATATAAACATTGTTTTATAATATCTATTTTAGGGCACATTTTTTCACCATACTTTTACTTAATCCTCTTGAGATGCAATAAGAAGTAGTTCATATATTATAATGAGATGTTCCTCATATACGGTCTTAGGTCGTATATCAACAACGTCTGCCATAATTTATAGTGAGGAAGAGAAGGGTTACAAATTTCTATCATATATACTTCAACATTCTGTTTAGATTGTGTTTTATAAAATATTAAAATTGAATAGATCATATAGATGAACAAATATGATTGATATATATTGTTAGTTAACGAAAAAAAAAATCTTGTGAAAATAAAAAGCAATTTTTTTTCAATATGAAGCTTGTTTCAAAATTGAATTTATTTGTCTATTATATGAACGCTTGTGTATTTTGAAATGGAATGCTTTTATGTATTACAATAATAAACAAAAAAAATAAGGAAATACATAGAGAAGAATAGCTAGTTAACTCACTGTCTATGTAGATCATTGGGATCGACAGCAGTGTCACCCATTCGATGATTTGTTTGTAACAAAAAAGAAAAAAAAAAGTACTCTTAAAAAGGCTTACATGAAAATTATTCTATTTTCGTCTCCTTAAAATTTGCATATTTTTAATTATTAGAATCTGTTTGCTATGAAAAAGAAAGCCTACATATAATATAGGAATATATAATAGACATTGTCTTAGTATGGTTGTTCTTAGTGAGGCATCTTGTCGTTACTGTTGCTGAAAATGATATGGCTGTGAATAAAATCGTTGTTGTTGTTGTTGTTGCTGTTGTTGTTGCTGAAAATGTTGTTGTTGCTGTTGAAAACGTGCTTGTTGTTGTTGTTGTTGTAGATTTGCTTGATAAGCGTGTTGCTGATAAACTTCACCAACCAATTGTATAACTTGTCCTTCGTTCATAATATATCGTTGACCATTAATTGTAACCGTAAAAAGTGATGGATCTTGAGCACCATTCATTGATCCATTTACAGTGGCATGAGGAGGTTCACTTTCATCCATTGTTTCGATTAAAATTCCTTGAGCAGACATCATTGGATAATATTGTTGAAAGAATTGTGGATGATGCATATAATAATGTGGATGATGCTGTGCATATATATAACCGTTGGGATGTCGCTGTTGTTGTTGCAAATAGGCAGCAGCTGCAGCAACAGGCATGGCAAAAACAGTTGGACGAAAATGTGCTTGGCTAAAAAAGAATCGATTATTGCGTTCTTGTTGATGAGTATCATGATTTGTATCTGATTGTGATTTTCGAAGTAATGGTGGATCATCAGGTTCTTCGACAATTGGCTTTGTTGATGATGAATCTGTTGTATCATGAGCTTCATTATGATCATTGTGAACTTCTACTATTCTAGGTTGTTGATCAGATGATTCGAATTTTGCTGTATTTTCATCATCATCAGCTGAATTTCTTTCTTTATTTGGATCTAAAAATAGGATTATATTTAGAATAAAAAAATTTGAATGTTTAAAATAAACTTTAATACTAACTGATTAGTCGTTGTAATGCATAGTAAAGTACTTCTCCTCCGTTTGGTGCGCGTCTAAGAAAATCATGTTTGGTAAGCAACACAAGAGCTTGACCTTAACATTAATATAATAAAAACAAAAAACAAAGATAATAATAATCACATAATTTTAATTATATTTCATTTACCATTCATTTCGAACTGTTCAGCTGTATTCTTTTTTAATTCGAATTTTTTACATTGGTGTTTGATCCAATGTTGTACTTCAGCTGATGACCATTTTGTTGCATCTCTAGTGGTTGGTTTTGTAGAATTTTTATTTATATCTTCGGCAGAGAACGAAGTCGTAATTATTTTTTTATTTCCATTACCCATCGACGTGGTGTTGGAAGTAGCTGCGTTTGTTGTCGTGTTCGTCATTGAATCGTCGTTTTTCTATTCGCTTACACAGTTCGACATTGACGCAGTAACGAATTGGCGACAAATACTTAAAATAACCTGTAATATATGTTGTTTGTAGTCGACGGCTCATCATCATAACGTGAAAGATGGAGAAAGAGGGAAAGAGGGAGAGAGCGCAAAAGAAAAAAAATACTAGAATATACAGATTGTTTTATCGATGTGCGTAAACGAAAAAACGATACACGAAGAAAACAGTATACATTAAATATAAAGACCTGTATAAGAAAAGAATGAGTAAAAATGTACAATCAAATGTTTATCATATTTTCTATCTTATTTATTTTGTGTTAAATAAACCTATCAAATGAAACAATAATTAAGATACAAATCCTAATCATTCTAATGGCTTGTATGATTTTTTTGTATTAATAAAAATAGATTAATTGTACTAGTATAAACAGTAAAACATTTTTCAGTCATTTTTGATAGGATTTTTCTAACAAAATTACATGATAAATGTTATATTTATGATTTATTTTATATGTTGTGGTTTATTCCAACTTTCTATAAACAAATTAGGGAAGTCATTCAAGCGTAATATTTCAATGTGTTTGCAAGCATATGCAATATTTACAATATTACCTATATAGATAGAGACATAGTATGATTGCATACAATACATACTTTTTGTTTTGTCTTTTCTATTTTGCATCAATCTATTAGAAAAAAAAGAAATCGAATATCAAAATTTCATTTGCAAACTAATCATATTTTATTATTTGCCATTGGTGATCATGCTAATAAATCATGATAAAACCAAAATAATATAAATATTTGTGGTCATTTGATCAATATGAAAACAAGAAAAATATACTTGAATTAATAATACTCGTTTTTTTCAAATTATTTACACTCAATAACATTAGATCATTTAGTTATTCATCAATGACATAGAATATTTGAGTATGATCAATTTTAACAAGATATTTATTTTGAAAGTCGTTCGTATTCCATACTTGAATATATAGAGGAAGGTGTTATATTGTTCCCAACAACGAATGAGTGTCAAAAGACGACCATTGAGACTGTGCAATATTTTAAACACCATCAAAGGTCCAACACATATAATTTACAGTCAATATTAAACATACTAGATAACGAAAACCATCAACAACAAAATGCATGCATGACATGACCTTAAGGGTACCCTCGCTCTTGCCTTCTCGGAGTTTCTAAAGAATGAATCATCAGAAAAATTTGAAATTTTCTGTATCAAAAAGACGAATATTGACTCCCATGTTCGTTCACGTTTTTCTAAGACACTATGTTAGATCGAATTGAAATTTTTTTATCAAATACTAGATACTGCTTGGGGTAGATGGCTTGTTATTCTTTGTCCTTCGAATAATAAAAATAAAATCTCGAAGATATTCTAAAAACACCTGACCTTTTAAAACAAAGAAAAATACCCATTTAAAACAGGATGCAATATAGGTAAAAAAAACTTCAGCTCGATCAAACATATTAGATCATACAATTGGGGATACTTTTGCACTTTTTTTCCGCATGAAAAGCGTGGTGTATAGAAGAAAATGCGAAACAATGTACATTGTTTGTTATTTTCATTATATAAACTTGGTTGTACACGGTAGATAAATACTACTTTAGACCATAAAATAGCTACAAAAAAAAACCAAAAATTTTAGATCCCAAAAAGAGAATGAGAACCTCTCCAACGTCCACATTCAAGAGTGAATCTTGGCTCAAGTAAATTCGTATTACATGAAATTTTCACATTACGTTGAAGCTATGATAGAAATTTTTGTTTGAAGAAGCATGTCATGATACAAGGCATGACAAAGCAATTTTTCTTCGAAATTCACAATGTGAGTTCTAAAAAAGTATAAAATCATCTGTTATAAGAAGAAATTTGATTCTTTAGACAAACAACCATAAAAAAATAGTAAAATTATCATTGAAGGATCCATCATATCTAATAATAATTCTTATTTTCTTTGAACCTAATGAATAACGAAACATATAAATTAATAATTGTATATTGGTCACTTGTTCATCATCAACATGTGTGATAAATTGTTATGGTATAAATACTAGATCATAACTAAAATAATTCATACAACGATAATCAATTTTATTAAACCATGTTAGAAATAATTGTTCTACTGTATCAATTGTATTTGTATGTCGTACAATAAGTTTAGTAAAAAAATAACGACGAGAGTACTGTAATTCTTCATAAAAAGATTTAAGAAACTTTCTTTCTAAATAATTTAATAGAGAAAAGAATGCTCTATTTGTCTATACTATGTGATCATATTTCAACTAATATCATAAGAATAAAATTTCAATAAGAATTGTCTTTGTTGAAAACTAGCTGGTAGCATTAGATTATAACGGATGGGACACTTTTGCATTTCAATTTGTTATCACGTAATACGTTGTATTAAAAGAACAAAGTAAACCATAAGATACAGCGTGAAAAGCTGTACAATTTATAAAGTTTTGTCTTGGTAAAAGACGAATTAGCGTCAAAATTTGGTTGCTCAAAGTTTTGTCCATTTTGAAAACACCAAGTGCAATTATCAAACAAGCGATCCTTTACAAATTGTACAACTTTTCACACTGCATCTTATGGCTTACTTTGTTCTTTTAATACAACGTATTACGTGATAACAAATTGAAATGCCGAAGTGTTCCATCCGTTATAATCTAATATTATCAGCTAGTTTTCAGCAAAGACAGTTCTTATCGAAATTTTATTCTTATGATATTAGTTGAAGTATAATCACATAGCATAGACAAATAGAGCATTCTTTTCTCTATTAAATTATTTAGAAAGAAAGTTTCTTAAATCTTTTTATGAAGAATTACAGTACATCCGTCACTATTTTTGGTATAGCCTAAGTATTAGTCAAGCACAAGTAAAAATAGTTTATCTTAAATATTATTAATAATTTAATCTTTGGCTTAAGCTATTCCAAGTGCTTTGAATAGACGTGCTTTCATTGATATAGCCAAATCAGGTAGTGGAAAAGTCAATGCATTTATTTGGTCAGCTATTGTTCATATGATGACTCAAGTAATTTGGGCTTTATGTTACGTTTTAAATAAAAATTAATTTTTCTGTTCGAATAGATAAAACATCAAGTTGATGATATCACTATTGTCTTAATCTGTGCTCCTCAACGTGAATTAGCTGAACAACTTCATCTTGAATATAAACAATATGAAAAACCACGTAATATTAATTCCGTATGTGCATTTGATAGTGGAAATATGCATGAACAAATAATGTCTTGTCACAAAGGATGTGAAATACTTGTTTGTGCACCTGTATGGAAAAACAAAAAAACTTTTTCAATGAAAGTCTACTTTTCTGTATTTATTAGGATAGTCTTATTGATTTAATTAAGAGAAAACGGTAGAAGTTCACAACGTGTTACATATTTAGTTTTTGATGAAGTTGATCAAATGTTTGATATGGATTTTGTAAGTTTTATTTTAATAGATACATTAATTTCTATTGAATAAAATTATAAAAGGAAACCACAAGTTCGTTCAATTGCTGATCGTGTAACTTCTGATCAACAACGCTTATTGCTTAGTGCAGCATTTAATAAAAACGTCAAAAAATTACGCTCGATTTTGTTTTTCATATTAAAATTATTTCTTCTTACTACTGTTCTTTATTTAGAACGAGATATTCTTACGGATCGTGTTCCAATTGTTCAAGGTGAAGTTAGCGAAGGTAGTTCAATTCTAAAGATAAAATGTTGATTAATTTTCTTAAATAACCAAATCAAGATGTTCATTCAAATAATGGAAGTAACAGGGTAGAGCTTTTATTTAAACTTGTTGAATTTACTATGTGTAAATACTTGTTCAATTTTATCTTTAAAATTAATGTTTTTATTATTCTATAGGAAAAGTTCTAATATTTGTTACACATAAAGATAATTTTACTGATAAATATTTTCAAACGAAATAAAAAGAATTTCCACATGAATAATTTTTACTTTAGCTGGCCTTATTCATGGTGATATATATACTACAATCTAATCTTGTTAACACAAACGGACAAAGAAGTTGCATCAAGTCTTGTAAGAGATTTAGAAATGCTAATCAAGCTGTTCCACAACACTTTATATGACCATCCAAATCAGTCCATAGTAAATTTGAAGATAACGTGGATTTATATATACATGTATAGATTTGCATATTTAGAATAATAATTTTGCTAATGGGCG